ATATATATCTCCTTCTTCCTTGCTTCATGCCAGTGTTTTCTTTCCGATTTCGATCAATTTCATTCGCATAATATGTTCCCATAGGTGTTTGTTCCTTTTCCTTATACTTCATCAGTTTTCTTCCGTTAATTTTTTTATATTGATAATTTTAATAATTTTAATCGCACACATACATACACATTGGCACATGTTTAACTTTCCAATTCGGAGAAATTAAAAAATAAGAAAAGGACTCTACGATTTATTTTTCTCTTCTTTCGTTAGAACACTTAGTATCACAACCCGGTGGAAGAGGTGAAAAGAATCAAAAGACGCTGTGTATTTTAGTTCCAGTGTGCCTTTGAAGTTTGAATATCGAGTATTAAATTAATTAAACTTCCGCGAAGAGCGAAGTGCACATTCTAAAAGTTATAACTAAATTAACACGTTCCTTGTTGCATGGTTCATCAATCATTCACAAATAAATTATAGTATTAAATGTATGACAATATTTCTAGAACGCACATGTGGTCATTACATATTATTATAACAACATTACATATTACGCAACATTAACATTACATATTATTATAATTAATACAATATTGTATATTACTAAAATTCTATTTTTGTCTGAATGAAGCGTTCCTTGTGAGATGTTAAATTAACGCAAAATAAGTATTGTTCAACCACTCGTTTTACGCGCGGAGGGACCATTTTGCCTTTTGAACATCCCTCAGGTGGCACGGAACGTGGTAAACGCGGTAAAGACTAGGGATTAACTAGAGAGCACTAGAGATCAACGCTAAAATTATTATTATAAAATAATCGAGAGGAAGGAAGGAAAGTGCCTATTTCATGTGTAATGAGTGATGAAATCGCATTCGTAGGTAGTAATAGAGAGCATCGATGCATTGTTCTATTCTAATGAAATAGAAGAAACGTAATATACCTGTCATCGTGTTTGTACGTTGTGTGTACGTGCTTCTTCTGCCTGTAGAAGCGATAAGATATGAGAAACAATTATATACGTGAAGAAAAATATATATTATATATATATATATACACATATATATATATATAATTATAAAGATCCCAGCTAAAGATAAAATTTGCTGGAGGAATGAGTGATAATTGATTAGTAATGATAATCGATGCGTTATTTTTCTTTCCTTATTATTAATATTTCTATTCTTTACTCGTTGATAATAATAATTATTATTACTTACTATAATAATAAGGAAAAATGTGTTCTCGCTCCTGCGACAGAAAGTTGCGTTTTTTGTAAAATTTCTTGTTGAAGGAAAAAATAGGCTACATTCCGTTTGTGAATTATCTTTCTTTTGATATATATATATATATATATATATGTTTATATATACGTAATTTCATCATGTTTCAAGGATTGACAATGTACTGCCAAAATAATCCTATATTTTCGTAAAAATGTTCTATGAAATTGAGCAAATAAAATGTCAGCGAGTAATCAGTGATTTCCATGATTCCTGAGTTCATTCTGGATCGTTCCTTCCCATCGTATGTACTGCTTTGATCAATTTTTTATGTTGGAGGTTGTTGTGAGTAAGTTATAAAATTGTTCACACAGAAGAAATAAGTACATTGAGATAATCTTAATTAATTGGTAGGTTTGCAAGACTTATCTTTTAATGGTTTTCTGTTTATTATTAACTTTTCAGATTACAAGAAAACCAATATCTCTTATATCCTGACACTAATTGTAAATAATTAAAAACTGATCCAAACAATCCATTTTGTGGATTGTTCAATTGCGACGATTTTCAATTATTTTACTAATCATAGAATAATTCGTTTAAATATTTCGATAGGAATTTAGAATCGATTGTACTTGTAATGTGTGTAAAAGTATCATTCCATCTCACCATGATCTTGATTAAACTTTCATGTCCTTGCATGATATCTATCGATGGAACTATGCGGTCTCCAAGGGGCGGGGGGGCGGAGGAGGCTCCGTTGTGCATGTGCACTGCTTCGAGATTGGCGATCATCGAAACGAATCTCGACTCTCGAGGTCCAACCAATTTCGGTTCCCTCTGTTCGCGTTATTGCAACAGGGGACACGGAGATTATTCTCATTTTACCGATTAGTAATTCAAAGCTCAGCCTTAATGTTAAATAGAGCTATTATCTATTAGCTAGATCGATCTTTCAACTGTTTCCATCATTGCTCTTTTGAATTAATGCTTTCGTGTATGTTGCGAGCATTTTTTTATACAGAGGAAACCAAATGTACCATATATCTCCGATGAAACTGTCAAAAAATCATGTTTAGTAATTAATATACCTACGTATATTAAAATATGAAGAATTTAACGTTATTAATTTTACATTCGTTAGAAATAGAATCAGATTGTCCGGAAGGGAAGGAAATAAAAATTTTGCAATGCAATATTCAGCACCACTCACAGTTATGGAGTAAAATTAGAGAATTATGTCGCAAATGAACAGACAGGCAGACAAGTAACAAATAGGTCAAGAATGATGGAGCTGAATGTATAATGCTAGCATAGGCACTGGAATGGAGAAGTCAGGAGACAGAATTTTCTTTGGAGGATCCGCTCGGATTGCCAACTTCAGAGGCGACTGCATCAGGGGCAACGGCCGGTCAAAGTCCTACCTTCGACATTCTATCCCCCCTACTTCTTTGTTCCTGTCTTTCTTGTCCGTCGTTTCTTCTTTCCTTGCAGCTTCAGTTCTCTTCCACCTTAAACTCGTTCCCTTTCGTCTCCTCTTATCTTATTTGGTCTTTCCCTTTTTTTCCCCCCCTCCCCCCCCCTCACTTCTCGTACATTTACCTTTCCTATCTCCTCTGGCACGCCTTCCTAATTTTGGACGTTTCGTTCATTCGTTCCTCCCTTGTTTTCACGTTTCATTCCTATATTTAATGTACCAATTAGCCATTTGCATTCTTACGAATGCAGCGATACTTCGTGGGATAATTATTTCCAAAGTTACTAAATTCAGCTGGACGAGTACAGATTTTCTAGCGAGGGATGATAAGGCCATTATTTCTGAATGAAGGAAAGAGAAACTCGCGATAAAATACAATTACTTAATCATCGTGATTGTACTCAAAGTGAGTCCAAGGTGAAATCATCGGCTTGATATAGATTAACGGGCATTCGTTTCGTAACTTTTACTAGCAAACTACGCGACAATCATCTGGATCGGCGATTAATCAGATCGTTGTACGATCGTACTGTTGTAGTTAAGTCGGTCGTTTAAAAGTCGTAAAGCACGAGTTGTTGATTAATGTTTCACGTTGCTGAAACGTTCTAAAAGAAAAGCATTCAACTTTCGACTGTTGCTCTTTTAAGATGATCCAATGTATATCTGGATAAATTTTTCATCATTATATAAATTTGGAAAAACCCAAATAGATATTTTCTTTTCTGATAAGGATCTTCGAGATCCATTAGACAGTAGAGGAAGGTCCTCAACTTTAGGTTTAAAACTCAAGAAATTTCAGTCGTTTCTGACTTCAAAGTTAAATAACTCGCTATTAGTGATTTAGTTGTATTATCTGAACGAAAGTGAATCCTTCATGATTATGATTAATCGTCCAGAAGAAAAAAAAAGTGCGGCTTAATCCCACACTTTTGCTCTGAAATCACGAACAAGTATCAAGCATTTACTTCTTGAAAGATCGACTGAGTCGATCGATCGATCAATCAGGGGCCATACGTATTCTTGATAAAATAATTGCATGCTGGTAATTGTGTCCCTTGTTAAATCACTTGTACGAGTTTGTTATCTCGTCTTATCTAAGCGAAATAAACGACCAAGTCGTTACTTTCCTGAGTGTGTGGTTATAAGTCTATTTGTTTCACGAAGCGTTGTCACTCACAATGCCACTGCGTGGCAATCGTAGCTGTTGATAAGAGGAAACAAGATTTACCAGCATCGAAGGTTCAGTCTGAATTCGATCAACATTTCATTGGTATTGTGGAAAGTTTCTCGCCGCGATTTTGACATTTTCTTCTGTGTTCAAAATTTCAAGGGAAAGTAAATGTAGTAGATCTGAAGGTAGCCAAGAGGGCTAGGTAGCCAATTGACGAAGAATTTGTGAAAACGAATGAGAGGCTTACGACCCTGAGTGATTAAGCATTCTCTGTAGAAATGGCCTCTCTTTTAGCCACGTTCTCGGTCCTTAAAGACCATGTCAAGTTGAAGGTTACGCAGGATACGATAGCCATTGATAACATGGGTAATAAAAATGGTGACACGTATAAAGATATTGAAACATTTTAAATTAAGCATTTGCAATTTTAGATTATTGTTTGATTCAACGATTAGACTACTAGGATATTTGTGAAATCTCGTATTTCTATGAATGAAAATTCCTCTTGTGAATCTTAATTTCTTTCACTTGCTAAATATTACTCTGGATAACTTTGAATATTTATGAATATCATGTACACCCTGTGTATTTTTTGTAGTTTTAAATTCCTCATAGTTCGCAGTCTATTCGTCAATTTTATTTCATTATAATTTCATTCAATTGAAATTCTTGTGAACACATTTCTTATTCGTCATTTTGAATTTAAGTTTTCAAGCTGCACTACAGAGTCACGTTTCTGATACTTTTAATCAGCACGTTGCTGGTGACTTCTAGACAATTCATTGGAGAGCATATCAGGTATTGTTGTGATATTATTATTAAAACGTAAAAAAATTATATTAATTTATTTTATTATTTAGTTACTGAGTTCTTTTTTTTATCGTGTTTTCGTCGTAAGTGTTATCAGCTAGTATGTACTAAAGTGAAGATATTTGTCCTCTATTTAAGAAAATCTCGATAATCTTCGATTTGAAAATAATAAGATGCTTATCTTTGCCTTTGAATTATTGTTGTTCCTTGTATATCTTTAAAAGGAGAATGTTAAATAAAGTTCAACAAATAATTTTTTTTTTTTCGTTTTTAATAAAAAAAAAAAAACAGGTATGCTTAGTAAAACATATTCCTATCAATATAGGCAGAATGTAAAAATCAAAATGTCCGAAGTCACTTAATCGCTTAAACTGATTAGACTTTACAAGTTTCACAAATTTCAAGTAATAAAAAATGATCCATGATCCATAGATAATAAGAGTATCTATCGATTAAAAAGTGCTAATAAAAATAGATAATAGTCGACGTTTTATGGACAAGGTGCATCGCCGGGCATGGAATGAGCGACGATGTAGTGAAAGTGATCAACACCTACTGCTTTTTCACGTCTACGTACACCGTGGTAAATATTAACAACAAACAAGCATTAGATTAATAATAAAAATAATCGATAAATAAAACAAGTAATCTTTCATATCCGAATGGACACTTGATTTCGAAAGAGTTGAATAATATTTCCTTAATCACACACATGCCCGTTTCCTCTCGAGATTCCGAGGAACGAAAGGCTTTATAACATTATAACAACGCAAATATTTTTACAGGCGAAACACTTGAACGCATCGGCGGTGGAGTCGGGCGAAATTCCGCATCCTGGTGTGGGACCAGCATCCTCAGGAGACCCCGTGGTGCATCATGCCTACTACCAGTGGGTGCCTTTCGTTCTGTTTTTTCAGGCGATCCTTTTTTACGCGCCACACTACCTGTGGCGGAATGTTGAAGGTCAGTCCTGCTATAATACCTACCAACTCGTCCTGCATACTTTTTGTACGCATGGTACACACTCTTTTAGCCAGAAACTAATTTTCTACCAGTTTCTACTCTTTTAGTTTAGCGTTTTTTTTTTTAAATTTATTACGATTTTCTACGACCAGTTGGTTGCAAAATGCATGTAACGATGTCCACAGTACAACAGTAGTCAATCATTTTCTAATTCACGATCTGAATGTGTGAACTTATTGCCACGGAATTGGACGAATGACAGAGAGGACATGATAGAGATATTAAAAGGGATAAAAATCTGTTGAGCCAGGAGGTCGGTTGAAAGCGTTGGTATCTGGATTACAAATGGCGTCGTTAGCCATCCACGAGACACCTTTGAAGACCGAGAACGGTATGACTATCCCGTCGAAGGATGATCGCAACGAGAAAATAATTCAGATGCGACATGCTTTCCTGAACCGTATCCACTTGAATCGGCCGTGGGCGTATTACCTGGGCCTCTGCGAGGTTCTCAACTTCATCAACGTGCTCGTGCAAATTTATTTCACCGATTGGTTCCTCGGCGGTGCTTTCCTGGGCCTTGGCCAAGCAGTCGCGCATGATGGCCTCGATGGGAGAGTCGACGCGCTCGATGTCGTTTTCCCCAAAGTACGTTTGTTCTTCCCCCCGATGAAAGGTTCATTGCAAACTACTTAAACAATTAAGCATTTCATCTTTCTTCTCAATTCTTTCTGTCCATTGAATAAAAACGCTTTTACATAATAAACATTTTCAGGTAACCAAATGCATCTTCCACAAATACGGTCCATCAGGATCCATACAGAATCACGACGCGCTATGTGTCATGGCGTTGAATGTCGTTAACGAGAAGATTTATATATTTCTGTGGTATTGGTTTATCATTCTCTCGGTGATAACCGGCTTAGGATTGCTTTGGCGGATACTGAC